ATGTTTATTTTTGAGATCTTTTGGAATCCCAAGCGGTCGTTATACCATAAAAAGTTAAAGCTCCAACCAAGTCTATATTATATTCGGTGCCATTTTTCCTATCATACCGATTTATTTTTTATTTTTATTTCTTATTTTTACTTTTCTTGGGGCTAAAACCTGAAAATCTACATCGACTACAACTTGATGAACTGATAACCCACATGACTTGAAAGTAAAATGCAGATATTTCCCACCTGAATCAAATGCTAACCAATAATGATTCTCTTTTTTCTTTTCTTTTTTTTTTTTCAATAGAAAAGGAATGATATAAAAGTAAAAGAATGTTGAGAAAAATAATTAATTAACCTTATCATCCTACATTCTTACTAAATAACCGATAGCAATCAATGATCATTTTTACAATTAATTTATTTTTTTTCCAGAAATTAACATTTAACTTTTATTAGATCATTACATTTTTTACAAGGTATACGCTTTTGTATGGTTTGATTGGATAAAAAAGTTACCTAATATTCACCGAGTATTGTAATCGTGTATGGCAACTTTTTCAATGCAATATCAGTTGCGATAAATATTGTTCGATCAGCACAAGTTGCACAAAGAAACATTTTCTAGCTAATATATATATAGCTATACAGTACAAATAACATTATGCGTTTCATGTTATCCTTTTACTATTTTACTCAATAAATTACATGTGTAATGCTCAAAATGAGTATGTAAAACTTTAGGTTAATCTCATTTCCACCCTTAAATTATCGGTCAACTGTTAAAATCTCGATGAAAAAAAGAACATGATAACAATATACGGATTAATAGGGGTTCTGTTTTATATGTTTTTTAACGTCCTAATGTGCTACTATTATGAACTTATGAATGAAGCACAAAAGCTCTGAAGAAGAAAAAAAAAAACCTCGAGTGGATTTTAGTTAAAACTCTCAAAACTCACTTTAAAGTTAATATAGGAATTAATTTTTGATTCAGTTGGTGTTTTAACATCTCAAATTGTTGTGTGCTCGTGTTTTTAATGTTTAGATTTTAAACAATTTGATATATTAAGAATTCGTTCTAAGACGTTTAAAAGTGAATGATCGAAATGTAATTTAACCTGCAATTCCAGGAGTGAAACCATAGGATTAATCAAATGTGTATAATATTTCCCTTTTTAGTTACTTTCAATTCCTTTCCGTTCCTTTTAAAAAAGAAAAAAAAAATCCAACAAAAATCTGAAAAGTCCGTGATCTCACGCGGTTTTAAGGTCTCGAAATCTAACAATATGACGGCCTATTTGTCCTTATACCCAGCCCTTGCATGTGAGCGTCACTCAGATAATTGTAGTTATATTTTCAAAATAATAATGTGGTTATGGTTAATTAATATTCGCCAAGTGGCCCAATCAGATCTCTTTGTTCTGATGAAAAAAGATCTTTGGTTTGTGCATTGGGATTTGTGGAGCCCATCTCAATGATCCCCAGAGAGCTCACGAGACTGGCTAGTGAGCAGTGGTGATCTAGCTTTCTTTTTCTCTGCTCTTTTTTTTTTTTTTTTCCTTTTTTCTTTTTTTTGCTTTTTAATATTTTTATATAGAAAAAATAGAAAAGTGCAGGTGAAATCTGATTGCAAGATCGGATTGTCCGATTACAGAGATGAATATGAATTGCAGGGGCCGTTTGGTTTGCAGGGTTATGATTGATTGAGGCCATTGGGATGTGATATGTATCATTCCTTTGAAATATATATATATATATATATGAATTATATGAGTATTTTTTGTTGTAACATCATCAATAATAAAAAGGGTAAAATGGAATGGCGGGCCCCACACGGTTTAATGCCACGTCACGGCTCTGTGTGATGGATTTTGGTGGGATTGAGACCATGGGAGATTTTGTTGTCCTGGTAGCCTATTATGTTGAGCTCACATGGGTGCTCATTTTGTTAATGTGTTAGTTGATTGTGATATGTCTGTATGGGAAAATGATGTTTTATATAATAATGTATAAATCCATGACACAAGTTTAAATTTTGACTTTCCTCCCCGAAACGAAAAAGTTTTTAAGTTTTGACTATGAATGTAGGGAATAGTTTGTGATCATTATTAAAGTGTCTCTTAAGTAACATAAAAATTATCGTTTATTTTACTGATTCAAGATTTTAATTTTATCACAGTTAAAAGCGCTCAATAAAAATCACATTAAACTTTTATGTTACAATAAAAAACTCTTATATAAAATCATATTTCAGCTCAAATTAAAAGTTTAAATCAACAAACTTAACGAGACTAAAGATTATCGTGGCTCTTCAAAATTGTACTAGTACTAATACTGTACTGTGCTTCCCATGATGAAGCACAAACAAACTCTTCCTCTTCTGGCTGGCTGAAACAAATTATCAGCAACAAACACATTCAGAGGTTTAGTCAATAGATGTAGTATCACTTTCTACTAAAAGTTCGATTACAAAGATGTGAATTCTGGACATGTTTACTTTTAAAAAAAAAAATACAATTAATAATTGTTTTATGGTTTTCCTCTTATATGCATTATATATATGTAGGTCTTTCTACCTTCATGTTACCCGAAATGTTTGAAAGCAAGTTTTTGCTTTTATTTTTCCTATCCCCTTCCATTGCCTCTATATTTTATGTCTTCAAGTTTTGCTTTGAATCATTTGGTAACCTATCAGTTTAGCCCACTTAAAATTCAGTCAACTCAACGAGTCACTTTGTAAAAAACGAGTAGTAGAAGAAGAAGAAAGATCAATGAGAAGCTAAACGGGCTTCCGTTCAATTAAGAATCAAACAAATGGGCTCCCTCACAACTTTAAAGAGGGGCAAAAGCTAAAGAGAAATGGGCCGGCTAGACTTCCTACAATGGCGTTTTTTTTTTTATTATTATTATTTTTTAATCATTATAAATGTCTATTTTAAAACCGTCGTCTTTTTTTATTTTATTTTTTGCATAGGGTTAATCACCGCAAATGTCTATTTTAAAACCGTTTACAATTTCATCACATTATTATGCATGATGACATTACTAGCTCTAATCTCAGTACATAGAGATCGTAACTTTATGATAATAGAACAATTAGAAATCTAAAAAGGTCGCAATATGTTATACAAATATAGTTATTATCATAAAAATTTGTTTTATAGGAATTTTCACCATCATAATCAATGAAATCGAACAACAAAAGTTCTATAATTTGCAACTTTTTAATAATACAATAGGGTTAAAATTTTAAAAGGTTCTAATCTTGGTGTAAAAATGATAAAATATACATATTTTCATAAAGCTTGCAACTTTATCATAATGATCATTATCAGAATATATAAAAAGAACAAAACAAGAACTATGAACTGTTAATTTTTAAAAACTAGAAAAAATCCTAATATTATGAAAAGATCAAAAGTTTTTAAAACATGATTCTCAAAATATAGTTATAGACGCTTCATATAATTATTTATTTTGGTAAAATCCATAAAAGCTCATAATTCATAAAAGTTGTGCCTCTTTTCTCTTAACCCTTTTCTTAAAAAAATAAAAATAAAACCATGCCTATCTTTTATGTTGCGTTTGGCAAATTTGACTTCTATTGTAAATAGATTCAATTGTTTTGAATAAAATTTTGTTTTCAACCAACACTTAAAAAGCTTTTTGAGGTTTGGTTTAAACCAATGATTTGATATGTGGAGTTTGCCTGATTTGAACCATATGTTAGGTTCAAATCAGTATTTGGTTGAAAAAAAAAAGTAAAAATTGATTTGAACTATTAACGTGACATTTAAATTATAAAAAAACAAAAGATTTCTAAACTCAACCCCTAAGAAAGATTTGAATTTACCATTACTCAGTAGGTGCTATGTGACTTAGATATGCCGAGTCATCAAGCACTTGAAGATGCTGCCAGGGGCTTTGAGATGAGTGGTGAGAGCTGGGTTAAGAGCAGCTAAGGCAAATTCATAGAGTTGGGAGGAGAACCTTCAAGCTCCTAAAATTCCTCTTTAGGGAACACCTGTAAGAAAGCAACATGCACTCGGTAATAATACTTGAACATGGATTCTTTCCCATCGACTGTCCCTTGAGGAGACAACGACCTCAATAGTAGCCCCCCCTCCCCTCCTTCTAGGGCGTTTAGATAGTGAAAGGTTATCCCTTTGCAACGCTGGAAGCTAAGCAAAGTAACGAAACTAATTGACTATGCTCAAGTAGAGCTCAGGCCCGGAGGTGGTGGCTGAACTCACCGCAGAGTTCAGGTGAGTAGGGTCCGTTTAGTTCGCTGATTTGAGTTAAGATGTGACTTTATGTGAGAATTTTTTACTGTAATAAAAAAGTTAGATGTGACTGTTTCTGAGAGTTTTTTACTGTAGCAAAACTCGAATCGGTGAAATGAACGGGACCTAAGACTCTCTTGGTGAATGCGATCAGAATCGGCTTTTTGCTGCAACAGAGTGCTTAAACCACACTTTTGAAACTTCTTGTTCTTTTCATAACTCAAGTTGAGAACTTGAGTTATATATGTGAGAGGAAAACACTGTAGTGAAAAAATTAATTTTGAATTTTTAAGAGAGAAAATACTGCAGCAATATAATTTGAGTTATGAAAAGAACAATTATTTTAAACTAAAAAAGTTTAGAATATAATGGCTTGATTTAAACCCGCGAACTAAACAAAAACCTTTAAGAATTCGTAGTTTACCTCCATATTTTCAATGTTTTGAACCAAAAGTTCAAACCACATGTTTTAAACTTTCTAGTTCAAACTATAAAACTTTAAACCATCATATTTCGAACCTATTTACCAAAAGTTCAAAAAAGTTTAGAATATACTGGTTTAATTTGAATCTGCGAACCAAACAAAACCTTTAAGAATTCGTAGTTTACCTCCATGTTTTCAATGTTTTAAACCAAAAGTTCAAACCACATATTTTAAACTTTTTAGTTCAAACTATAAAAGTTCAAACCACCATATTTCGAACCTATTTAACAAATCCACCAAAGAATTTCCTTCCATTTCAATTTCCATAAAGTACATAATGCATAAAAACATAAAACACAGCAACAGCTTGATAACAATAACTTTTGTTACAGTTGAATGCTGATACAGAACCATATGGAGAGGTAAATATTTCTTACAGCCGTTCACATTCTCTCTGGCACTCTCCGCATTTTGAATTTGAGAGGGACTTCCTTGTAGGATTGAACCTTCACAACCGCCTTGCGCATTGGTCTTCCAAGTGAAGATCTTCGTGTTGTTACGCCTGCTTCACTGTTTGGGATGCAGCTTTCTTCTCTATTTTCTTTCCCAGTTTGTTTTGGACTGTCAAACTTTGCATCCTCAATTTCAAACAAGTTTTCTGTCGGTTTCCTCTCATGGGATTTCAACTGCACGGATTGCCTCCTCACACAGCGCCTGAATATCACAGCTTGTTAAGACATTATCTTTGAAGTTACAATACAAGTAGCAAGTGGATAGTTTTACAGGTGGATAGTAACGTTAACAACCTTTTGTTTTCAACCTCTTTATCATCATGTTTTTGGCTTGTAGTGGAAGGCCCCATAGCTGTAATTCACAAGAAGCTCATGAGTTCACATTTGCAATCTTGTAAGACTCATTATACCACTCCGATATGAGCCGTAAATCTTAACATCGGAATTCGAGTATCATTAGAGAGACTATTGAACTTGTCAACTAATAAGACATATAGCCTATAATTGGAAATTTTTAAGGTCTCCAAAAAATTACATTGACTTCTTGCGGCGCGCCTTCTGTTGCGATGATGTGGCTTCTCGTCTTGACCAGCTACATTCGAAGCCGCCTCCTCTCCTTCCTTGATCCATCAAAACAAATGAAGAGTGAATGTATTAGCTCCAACTACATAGCAGAATTATAATTGATTAGATTGGATTAAATTACTAACCTGAGAGAGAGTCTTTTGACAATTTGCTTTTGTTTTCCCCTACAACACGTATAGTCGTGGTGAGAATGAAAGAAAGTTTTGTTCAAAATTGAAACATTCAAGTCAGCATTCCAAGTGAGGTTGTCCATAATAGATAAGTACGCTAGCATAGTTCATACTTTCACTGATTCTTGTACTGAGAACTTCTTCAGAATTTATTTTCAAACTTCCAGTGAAATTTTCACCACGCTCTACGGAAATTCCATAAATGGACAAGAAGATTCTTTAAGGGTTGCGGCGTGTGTTGAACATATCAAGAGGCATATTTTTAGTGGTAATAATTAACATTTCTTAGTGCTTCTTTTGTTTTCTCTCAATTTTCTTTTCACAGAATTTCAAATATAAAATAGAATTTAGATACATTAGAGTGGTAGAATAATGACAAATGCTAACCTCTTGGCATAAGTTCTTGGCTTTTAGTAATGCATCCTTGCACCTAAGTTCATGCTGTAGTGCTTTTATCTGAAATAAGCAACGAGAAATCGGTCAAATTAGATACCAAAATAACAGCGACTTCAAAAAGCTTCATCTTTTAGTGACAATAATTGAGTTTAACTAAAAGTTACCCTTTCTCTTCCCAAATTAAGTTCCTGCAGAAGTAATTCAAAAGAGTAAATAAATTTAATTGAAAATTCAGTAAGTATAAAGAGAGTATAATTAAGATGACAAGGAAAAGCAGATATACCGCTAGCATTTGGCTGTTCGATTGAGCAAGATTCCAATTCTGAAGCTGCAATTTCTGAAGACTGACTCGGAGATTCTGCAACTCAGCTCCACTGAGTTCAATTATTTTACTGTTCAAATGAGATTAAGGAACAAAAAAAAAAAAAAAACGATTGATTGTTTGCTTCGAAAAAGAAAAGAAAAGAAAACATAACTTCAGAAATTTCTAAAACAACACTTTGTTAACAGTAATTACTTTTGTTTTTTCTTTACCGGTCATGAGAAAAGAAAACAAACAAGAAGCATGAAAAAAGAACCAAAGGATACTTTCTTTCGGCGATGAGCTTCATCCAGGACATTCTTTCCTGGTTCAAAAATTCAAACCACAAACAGCCATTTAAGCAACTGAGTAATAGATTTGGGGGAAAAAAAAAAGAATGAAGAGTAGATGATACCTTGATGAGTTGGTCAATTTTGCCCTTATCGGAGTCGGAAATTCCCACCGGCTTTTCGTCTTGGCTAGTGAACTTTACGGTCTGCAAGTTGGTGATATCAGAGAGCTTCTTCAGAACAACGTTCCCAAAAGACGCTCTCTTTGCCATTCTTTCACCTTTCGTGTTTCCCAAAATTGCTCACTACGATTCCTTTCCTGGTTGAATTCTTCAAGAACATATAATGAGGATTTGAAGGGGTGTTCGAGAAATGTGAAAGAGATGGAAACGAAAAAAATATCAGATCGGATGAAGAAATCTTTAAGGAAAGTAAAAAGGGTTTCTGGGTTTACGTGGCAGCAAGAGATTCTGAGCGACGAGTAGGAGAATTTCAAATGAAACAGAGGACAGTTTTTTTTTTCCCCTTTTTCTTTTTACAATTTGGTTCTGTTTCAGAAGTTAGAAGATTTACCTCAAGAGATTGAAAGCAAAGAAAAAGAAAAGAGGGAAAAGGAAAAGAAAAAGAAAGCGAGGCCAGGGAAAGAGAAATAGGAATCAGGAAGGGAGATATCAGATATCGCTGGTAAAAGGTTGCGTAACGGCTCCCCAAAGCGGAGTCCGAGCCTAATTTCAAATATCTTAACCGTTTCCGAACCTCCCTCCTTTCTTCTAAATCTTTTTTTTTTTTTAAGTCACTCTTTTTTAAAAACAAAAATAAAAAATATTTGCTACGTGAAATCTCATTACAGAATTTGTATTCTTTTTTTGGCGGAATGGAGGCGGATAATGATATCATACCTTCAGATGTTGTGACTCAATCTTTTTTAATTATGTTGCGACTGATTTTTATTTACTGATTGGTTTTGTAATTTTCTTTCATTATGACCTGATCATTATTTTAGAAAATATAGTTTTTCTTTCCGTTTGTAAGGTTTTATGTTTCTTTTTTAGAATTTTTCCTTCATTATGGTTTGATCATATTTCTTTTTTATTGTATTATTTTTTGATGATTTTTCGTGAATAATATTACTTAATGTTTTACTTTTCATTTTTATTATGATCTAATCATTATTTTAGTGAAAATACTTATTCTTTATGAACATATTTTTTGGTTAGGTTTTATGTGTTTTCTTTATTAGAATTTTATTTTCATTATGTCTAATCATGTTTCTTCTCTATTAAATATTGTTTTAAAGATTTTTTATGATTTTTTATGAATGATATTACTTATTATTTTGCTTTTTATTTTTATTATGATTTGATCATTATTTTCGTGAGAAGAATTTTTAGGGTTAGTTTTGGAGCAGATGTAGTGGGTGTAGAGTTTTAAGGATTTTTTTTTTAGCAAAATAAAAGACCCGCTGTTTTTAAAAGATTCGGTGCTTCTTTTTTTCATGTAAGAAACTTTCCTTTGTACCAATACATTTCATTAAATGCTTATTTTGTTTAATATTCGGGTGTTGTCCTTTTGTTTTAGTTGATGATTTTGCTATATTTGTTTCTAATTTCTCACATATTTTGTTCTTTAATCTTTTTTTTCATTTTTCTGTTATATGAGGATATAATTATCTGTTATATGAATGTCATATTTTAATGTTATTCTTAATGTTTCAACATATAATGATATTTCACATTGATTATCTTCTAACTTCTGATACGGAACCAGGAAGCCAATTGATCTTTCAAGGCCTTATTGCCCAGTAGCAACCTCTTCGTTAAGTTTCAAAAGACTAGATCTAAAATATGGCAGGTCACTTTTTTTTTTTTTTTTTCTGCTACTATATGGCAGGTCACTTAATTATATAGCCTCAGTCATTGCACCCAAATGTGTCTCATACACCTCTGGTAAAATTTTCAGTCTTGACACTTTTCTACTCGCACATAGAGAGAGGAAATAAAATATTATCTCTGCTGATCAAATTTCTAGCCGTTAGTCTCCTTAAGCACCAAGGTACCTTCAGAGTTTGCAGGTGTTCAAACGGAACGGCAAATTCTGAGACAAATAGATGAAACTGCAGTAATTAGGCATGTTTATCGCATCCTTAAACAAGATCGCTAACGGTGAGGAAGGACCCTCGTTAAGAGGGCACAAAAGAAATTCACAAAATCAAATACTAAATATTTCCAATAAAACAAACGAGTATATGCATCCTATTTGTAACTTTCTTCATTCTTCTTTTTTTTTTTTTTTCCCTATGTATGTTGCATTTTGGTGTCTCCTTGTAGAAGAAAGGAAGCCTTGTCGCGGACCTGAAAGAAAAAGAAAAAAAGATATATACTTTAGCATGAAAATCAGCGAGGTGTGTGTGGAGAAGAGAAATGAGCTTTTTGATACCTTTGAAGCAAAAGACCTAAAATCTGTGCTGCTGATCAGACAGGAACAGTTTCTCAGATATAGACGCCACATTTCTTTCAAGACTGGTTTGTCTTCTAAGAGTTTAGTAGACAAAAGCCAATTCTCTGTCAAAACCAAGTAAATGTACATTTTGAAAATATCGCACTTTTTCTCTTTCAGATTAATAGCGATGAGCAATCTTAGGACCTCATCATCAACAGCCTGCAGAGAAGAGTCAAATTCATCAAACCTGTAATACTAGGTTGGGGGTTGGCTAGTAAATGAATGTTTTATACTATAATTTAATAAGCATGGGAATCAAGCCTTGCAATTTCGTTTATACAGTAATCATAAAGGTAATGCAAACGCTTTTCTCAATAAGAAAGCAAAAGTAGAGTTAACCTCTCCCCACATGAATGGAAAGGAAATAAAAAAAAGAAAAGAAAAAAGATAATCCAAAATTTTGAAATCAATATGTTTCACAACCTGAAGAGAGGATCCCAAGTCCTGCAATGGCTTCCGATAACCTTTAAAAGGACCATTATTGTCCCGTTTATTCATGATCTTGACAGGTATACTCATACTTATCGTATTTTCTTGGCCAGCTCCGTAAATTTCACTATTTATGTGATGGGAAAAAGGGTTATTTCCATGAAAGCCTAAGTGAACAACTTTATTTATACATATTTTTTAAAGAGCTAACACACAATCGAAAAAGAGCCAGTTCTACAACAAAGTAAAAGTGAGATACAAGCATGCTTCTTGCGATACAGGCACATACAAAAGCTAAAAGATAAGCGTACAGAAAGCAACCTTATAATCAAAGCAACCAAGAAGAATTTGATAGGCAACTGCACTTCTAAGATGCTTACTGCGATCGTCAACTCCTGAAATGGACTCCACTATTCTTGTGCAGTTCAAGTCTTTAGGTACTCTACATGAACAGGAATAATCAGCATTCAGCGACATAGGAGAAAAGTAAACACTTGAGCACGCCCTTTTGTTGCCTTGACAATTATATCCATTAAAAACACGATGAAGCTCATTATCAAGATAATCCATCAGATGCTCCAAATTTATCATTTCAGTATCAGATCTAAATAATGCCAGTAAGTGCTAGCAATTCACAACAAAATATATAGCAGTTCATAGACTAATTTCAGAGAAACTGCAATCTCAAATTTGTACTATTCCCTATAGCCATTCCTCCTACATCAGAAAAGAAAATAAAACATGCAAAAAGAAATCAACAAACCAATTAGATACGAAAATTAAACAAATAATTGAACAACATTGTGCTAGAAAGGCCTTGGTACAACACAAAAGAACTTTGATTTTACCCATTCCTAAAGCTAGAAATCCAATGCAGTAAACTACATCCTGATGTAAAGCAAAACAATAAATTGATAGTACTATTAACCTCCGTGCAATAGATTTTGCTATTTTCTCACAGCTGGCTTTCCATTCCTTGTCCGTAAAGTAACTGATAACTGCTTCCATGCATTCATATAAAAGCACCGACAGGCCTTGAAGCTGGCGATCCACAAAGAAAGAAATAATGATCCCAGTTAACTCTTCAGCCTCTGAGGTTGAACACACAGACCACTTGCACCTGTAGAAAACTCTATTATAGTTAATAGTACGAAATCATGATGCCACCAAATGGAAAATGGAGGGCAGTAACTACGATGTTTGGTAGGATGGATAGAAAAGAGGAAGGAAAGAGAAGTAGAATACCTAGGTGAAGGAAGTAAAATGGTTTTCTCTCATGTTGTTTGGTAGAAGAGAAAGAAAAGTGAAAAGAAAATGTCAAATTTAAGGCATTTTACAACAAAACCCCAATACAAATAAAAATATGATGAATGGTGAAGGTTAAAATTGTTATTTTACATCTCATTTTTTTGTCAAACTTTTTTCCTCATCTTTTCTTCCCAAAGTTGGAAGGATTAAAAATTGGTGGGCCCTATGGATTTTCATTTTCCTTCCTTCCTCATTTCCTCTCCACCAAACAACCTAAAATTCCATTTTCCTCTACAAAATCCTTCCTCTATTTTCTTTTCTTTCTCTTTTCCACCCTACCAAACACACCGATGTTTAAAAATCTATAGCCCTGAATGTACCACTTACCTCACTTCACAAGAAATAGTTACAAATTTGATCCAAAATCTAATATTTTGAGCTGGCCTTCCATAACTTGAATCTATAAAACACAATTACAAGTGATTAGATGATTGTGATTGACAAAGGACAAAGCTGATACTGAGAGAACAGTATTTAACTGTTAGACCAATGAAATAACACTATCCAAATTCAAGAACACACTACCCAACGTAAATACCACATTGCTTGTAATGTCTTCTGCACTCTACCCATGGAAGGTGCAATCATGCCGACGCACATAAGAATGGAACCCCTCAAATACATGATATACAAGGAAACTTCTATGCATGTTACTATATATTTGCACATAAAAAGGGGCACTCTATTGCTACAGAGTTTACTATTGTAGAGAACTTACGGGCATTAGAATCTCCCATGTCAGGCAAGAAGAGAAATCCATAAACTTCAAGAGCTTTTCTTAGATCAGAATAGTTAGGGAACCAATCTATTTTGATGGGCTGTAGATGAGTCAGATTGAGAAAAATGACCAATTAACTGTCCTTTACGTATGGTGCTTTCAAATTTCTGTCAATAGCAATAAGACAAATATCAATATACCTCTTCCCTAGGCTCGAGAATGGCACTCCAGAATTGACATGCAGATGCTCTCAACCCTTCTTTTGATGAATATAACACTGCAAAAACAAAAGTTAAGCACACTACAAGTCCACAAAACATAAGACTATTATCCCAAAAACAACAAAAGTGCACTGAATTAACTCACTCAAATTAAAGGTCCATGTGGCTATTGACTCTTCTACATGACCACATGTGAGAACCACTTTCAAAAGCCAGCCATTCACTAGTAATCCTTCGATGAAAGGGTCTCCTGCCAGAAGTCCCAAAGAAAGAAAAAAAAGTAAAAACAGTAAATGAGTATGCTTTATAGAGGAGTTCTAGCCTTTGACTGGCTAAGAAACGAATGTGATGAACAACCAAGGGCGCCTTTCATATCGAGCAATCAAAGCAATGACCGGGATGCAATCAGACAATTCCATCGTGCTATAAGGGCAGCTAAGGAATGTAAGATGACTAACCACTTTTAGAAGAAATTTCAACGAGAGAATTGAGATCATTATTCATGAAAGACTGCAAAAGGCTACAACTTTCCGGTGGAGTAACTAGAGGAGGTGGGGATTTCTGCAAATTTACAAAATTTCCGCAAAAATGAGGATCTACCCAACATCCCAGTAATGGCATCAACCAAAATATTAGAATGTTAATAAGCGTTACAGAACACACAATACAGAGCTTGGGTTCATTCGTTCTAAACCTGGCCTTGGAAAAGCTGAATGCCCCACAATGAGCTATCTTCTTCAGCACTCATTTCTATAATCTGCCAAAAGGAAATTACATTATAAGTCATGAAACAAGACAAGCAAAAGACATTATTATGATATTGATAGGAATAGTTATCTGCCTGGGTTTGACACTCATCAACAAGTTTAGACAAAGAAGCTTCTCTAGCGTCCTGTTCTTCATCAAAAATGCACTTTTTTGGAGCCTTTGCCCGCTTAGACTCCTTCTCCACATTCTTGATTTTCTCGTTATAAAAATCGGCCAAAAGTTCATCCAACCCAATAACCTTCTTCCTGATCAGCAATAAATTGAAGACATCAAACAACGGACTAAACCCTAATTTTCCCCAATGACTAAACACCATCAATTCTTTCAGAATAAAAAGAAAACGTTAAAAATCTAATGCTAACTGGAAAAGAGAAAATAGCAATGGCGTAATGGCGGTTAATAATAATAAAGAAGACAATTTAGTGATGATTTAAGTGGCAGTGGGAACAAGATAGAACCCTAAATGGGAGAAATGGAGATAAAAGCTAAAACCTTTTGTTAGTGACAACAGGGGAAGAAATTATCGGATCTTCAAACTCGAAATCCAAGGATTCTTCCATGCCCACTAATTTTGTGCTCTCGCCTATTCTCTCTCTCTCTCTCTCTCTCTCTGTCTCAGAACATTTGAGTGAGAAACGAGAGGCGCCAAACCGAATAAATACAAGGAAATTCTTTTTCTCTTTTATATATCTAAAGAGATCCGTGCTGTATCCTCTCAATTTTTTATTATTAAATTTAATTAAAATCATATTAAATTTAAAAAATATATAAAATATATAATTGTTAGACAAAATCTTTAAACCGGCATTTATTATTTGTCAGATTAAAATAACAGTTATATAATTCAGTATAAATTATGTATATTTACATGTAAAGACGTATAATTAAATATAAATTTTATATATTTACATGTTATGCAATTCAGCATATGTCTTATACAATTTAACATATGAAAGTTGTATAATTATAAAGATGTATAAGTTGTATGATAAGTTGTATAATTCATCATATGTCTTGTATATTTACATATGGTAGTTGTACAATTTAACATAAATCTTGTATAATGTTTTCCGTCGGATCAGTCAGGTAAATAGTGCCTACCGCACGGAAGCCATTTTCATAATTTTTAATATAAATGTGGGAGATAAAAGAAAAGTATTATAGGTAATTTATTTTTTTTAATATTATTAGAGAAACTTTATAAGGGTATGTTATTTGATGACTCAAATTAAGAATTTAAATTGTATACGTGGGAAAAAAATATTATAATAAAAAAATTAAATTTAAATTTTTATAAAAGTAAATATTATAATAATAGGATTTGAGTTTGAGCTGTGAAAAAAATAAAGCGAAATGCTGTTTTTCCCCTCGCTGTCGTTCAATTCTTTTTCTTTTTTTTTTCTTCGCTGTTGTACAAAGGTTTACTGTCTCTGCCGTCCTGTGTTATTTTACTGTCGTTTCCGGGGCTTTCATTGTCACTGTTCCTATATTTGTCGTCCTTTTTTTTCTGTTCATTTATCTTCGTTCCATTCCCACGTTATTAACGTTCCTACTTTTGTTGTCTTTTTACAATTCATAATGTTTGTAGTTGTGTTCTTTGTAGTGTCGTTTTTTTTTTTAAAATCGCATTTGATGCTGTTGTCGCTTAGTTTGGAATGTTATTGTTTGGTAATTCAAATGTCGTTCGAATCGGCGGTTTTAAAAATTGTTGTACGTGCCATTTTAGTTTTTACAAGCATGTATTCCGCGTGTGCGAAATACAGTCTTCTATTATATATGATAGTTATATTTAAAATGTATTTATATATACACATATATTATATAATATTATATTATATGATAGATATAAAATTTGTACAAACATATTTACACTGATATATAGTATTATTATTTATAATATATACAGATTGTATAAAATAAAATACAACGTTGTTGTGTTTTTTGAACATTTTCTTTATTTCAACTGCAAATATAAAAATGAGAAAAATGTTTGTAAATATAAGTGTTAAGAAAATTAAAAACCGGTCTATTTCCGGCATCATGTCCATAGTTAGCGCATTCATCATAGTTAGAAGCTCCAACTTCATATCAAGGTCGCAGTCGATATCGTCACTATGTAAATATCAAATGTTAGTTAATCAAATTAGAATAGCAATAAATGACCGAGAGTACAATGGAGAAGAAAAAGAGTAAAGTGCAGAGAAAACAAACGGGAATGTGCAAAATAAAGTCATAGACAAAACCGATTTTTATAAATGAAAATGAGGAAAACAATTAGTAAAGGTACATATCCTATAAATGCCTCACACGAAAGAAAGCACAACAAAAAAAAAAGAAGCAGGGTAAAAAATGATAGAACAATATAATAAAGAAAAAAATAATAATTTATGCAACATACTTAGTTGTACTAACTTATCATATATATATATTAAATATGTGTACAAGATAAATAAATGCTTCATATTACACTATAAAATGAGTAGAGATAAAAAATAAATCAATAAACATTTGGAAAAACATAAGATTATATATAAATATTTGATTTAGGTTATAATCATTTATTGTCAAGAACATATACCATGAGTAATTGAAAAAAGATCTAGCAATATACATGGGTGCCATCTAAATTATTAAAGAATTTATGCCATAAGTAAGAAAATGTAGTATAGAAATAAAATAATTTATGTAATATACTTAGTTACACTAACATATCTCATATATACATCAAATTTCTATACAGGAAAAATAGATGTTTCATACTATACTATAAATTGAGTACAAAACATAAAAAAATCAGAAAACATTTGAAAAAATTTAAGCTTGTATATAAATATTTGCCTCAGGTTATAATCATTCATTGTCAAAAACATATACCATGAGTAATTAAAAAAGGATCTAGCAACATACATGGTTAGCAACTATATTATTAAAGAATTGATGCCATAAATCTAGAATAATAAGGGTAACATCAATGATAGCCAAATCTGTAATAATAACTACCCGGCGCATGTTAACAACAAAATAGATATAACAACATCATAACCAGAAAAAATTAAAAATTGTTAAGATGAAAAAATATATATTTTTTAAAGAAAGGCAAAAACTATAATAAAAACCTAACCTCTGCGGACCTAATAACATTATACAATATTTAAATAAGAAACATTAAGAGTAGAAAGAGACAATAAACAAATATTAGCATAAGCATGAATGCATATGGAAATAAACGAATGACATAAAACATAGTGTTATATCAATTAACGCATAAAAAATGTATATTCATAAAAAATACATTAAAATAAATAGATAAATTAGAACATAAAATATTTCATATAACAAACGAACATAACATTATAAATCAATATTCTAAAACATTTCAACCAGAGTAAATTAAAAAATTGAATACCTGATTCAACGAACCACGGGTAAAAAGATAGATCAAATAAAGCAACCAAAATTACTGAGCAGCAAAAATAGAGCAAAGGAATATAAAGGAAGCGGTAAGGTTAGTAAGAAATGGCTAGTATCATTAAGCTCTTTAAACAGTGAGAAAGCAGAGAGAATAGAACATGATAGATAATATTGGCTGAAAAATGAAGACAAAAAAAGAGTAAAAAATTATAGCAATAGAATAACATACATTATATATACAGAAAGTTACCAATATTTTACTAAATATCGGGTACAAATTCCTGCAAACAGAAAGCAATAGAAGTAATGATTAATTAATAACAGCCGTCACATAGCATGAAGACCACCACCAAACGTAACCAGTAAATAACAGACAGTTAAATTTTAGATACGTATTATACAAAACTAAAAGATAAAAAATGCACGTGTCAGAGTAAAGGATTAACATAAATATTAATAAATTTAGATCACGACAAATATTAGAGATTTGCTCAAATTCAGAAATGCTATTTAAAGAAATATGAAAAAATCAAAATATAGTAAACAAAAACAGGGACGAAAAAATAAATAACAGGGGAAAAAAATTAAAAATTATTGAAAAAAACAACAAAGGGAAATTTTTTTTGCAAATATACCGGCCAAAAAATAAATAAATGAAAAACCATAAAGAAAACAACAAAACCCAAAATACCCACAAAAATCATAAAAGGAAAAATGGGAAAAGCTAGAACAAACATAGGAAGATAATAAGGTGTAAAAAGAGATCTTTGTAAAAATAATCTAATAGAAAAGCTTTATTCATAAAATGACAATTCAAAAATTTTTATTTGCAAAATGACTTTCTTTTAAAATATGACAATCGCTTTCCTCTCCACTCTCCCTCCAGAGCCCTTCGCCGCAAAATGTCGACCAACTCGTCAACCCTCACTCACTCTATTACGCTCCCGAATCAACTTTCTCAGCCCGTCCAAGTCGTCACCGCCCCTGGTATCTCCGACGCAGAATTCCGGCGAGTTAATCCCTCTTTTTTTTTTTTTTTTTCCTTTAATGATCTACCATTAAAAAACAGGAGCAATAAGAGTTGAAATCTTGGTATTTGATTTTGCAGGAGTCCCATTGATTCGTCCTTGTTCAAGTAGTGGTTGAAGAACGCCGAAAGTAAGACCGGAATTTTTTCCGGCAGTGAACTTTCTCTGGAACGAGTTGTAATTCCTATTAATTATATAATTAAGAATTTATTCAAATAAAATAAATAAAATTAAAATTAAAAAGTCATTTTCCTAATTTTACTTTTTCACTTGGTTATTTTAGCCAAATTCTCGTGTAAAAACATAGATATGAAGTAAAGGACCAAACAGAGGAAAAATAAAGTGGATAAAAACATAGGTCTGAAACAAATGACCAAATCCATGAAATCCAAACAAAAAAATCAACAAAACCGAAGACGAAGAGAACAAACAGCATAAGGAAAGAGAAAACGACCATGCATATACAACCAATGGAAAATAAAAAAATAAAACATAAAACAGCCAAAAATATATACGCAAAAAGAAAGAAGATGAGAAGCAAAAAAATATGGTCTGGAAATGAAAAAAAAAGATGTAGAAGGTTGCAGAAGGAAGCAAATGGAAGAGAGAAAAGTTACTCCAGAAACGAAGAAAAAAAATACAGATGTAGAAGGCAGCAAACGAAAAGAAAAAAATTAAAACACTCAATCAGAGTGTAAATGACCAAAACGGTCAGAATAAATCAAAACAAATGAAATTGAACTAAAGAGCAATATAGTAACTTTATATTCAAAAGGACATATTGGAAATAAAAAATCATTTGAAGAAATATATAGGGGTAAAAAAGAAAAGACACTGTTCATTACACTGTAGTGTGAACAGTAAAACCTTTCATTTCTTTTAGTATATGTATAATATTTATACGTCTTTTGTAAAGCGGTCGTCGTTTTCTTATTTGTTGTCTTTTTGTCTACGTTTACTCATATGTCGTTTGCTCCTTTTAGTCTCGCTTACTGATTTGTAAGTTGTTGTTGTCATTATTTTTTATCTTTTAAACTGTTGTCTTGTTGTCATATATACCTTTTTTGTGTGTTTTGTAAAACAATTGTCGTTTAGCTTTTTTATGGTATCGTTTTGTCTTTTACGTTTTTGACGTTTATTTTGTCGGTGTCGTTTTCAATCCGTATGTCACTTTTTAATCCCAGTTGAGACGACTCACAGAAACCCCCGTGGATGCATATGTCTTGGGCTTAGTTTAGTAGTGCTATGAATTTAGAAAAATTGCTTTTAATTGTGCTGAAAGAAAAAATAGTTGTTATAAAAAGTAACTGAGTATTTGGTAAATTATAATTATAATAGCTGTGCTGATTCCAAAATCAGTGTAATAACGTTTGGTAAATTTTGAGGTTGAATTGTTGTGGGTATGTAAAATGACCAAAATAGACATGGTATGAAACTTAAATATATATAATTATTTTTTGTATTTAAAAATACTTGTTTAACTTAATAAAACATAATGCTATGATTTCAAATTTTTTAACAATAAATTTATGACAATTAATTCCCTTTTTTTTTTTTTTTTTCATTTCTTCATTCACAATATAATTACAACTAAAAGGAAATTAGTGACAATATGACAGGGACAGTTGCAGTCTTCGAGTTGTGAAATTGTTTTGTGCTCTCTTTCTTGCAAAGCTTGGCAGGGACAGTTGCAGTTTTGATAACGCAACCAAATACCATAATTATCAATTTTGGTGGGGTTCTCAAAAATCTCCAAAAAAATATGATAAATTTGTTAAGAAATAGAGGAACTTACTATCATCATAATAGGAGAGTAGAAAAGTCATTACAACAATAAAAACTCATTGAAGCATGACAATAGAAAAAAAAATACAAAATGCCACCATGCAGAGATGCCAGGCCATTGAACTTCTTGGGAAAAAAAGAAAAAAAAAATAACAGGCACATTAACTTGACCTACATATATAATTCACTGAAGCCTCCCAACTTTCCATCACCACATAGTGTTCAAACAATTCCTTGAAAAATAAAATGAAAGATGCCAGTGCAAATTGTGACTTGACATCCAGCAAGGGAGACAAAGGAAACAACAATTTATGGATAAACATCAATTTATCAAAAGCAGTCACCTGTTACAGAGCAGAGAGGAAAGGATATCATCAATTTATGGATCATTGAACAAAGGAAACATACATAGAGAAACAGGTACTTGGTAACAAAGGGACTAACCACAGTGTCCTTTGATTCTTCAATCCCATATAAGGTTAAAAAGGGCTTTGCAAGGTTTTCATCTGAGATGTCGATATATATAAACAATATCTGCATGAATGGATTAAATTAGGAAAATTCATAGCACAAGAAGTTGCCCAATTGGTTTGAAAGCTTCAACTTTTATTCTCATTCACTACCTTTGACTTGAACTTTCTTGCAACATCTTGGAGAGGCTCAAGAAGTTTTTGGAAGCTATCCTCCTCTGCAAAAACAATAACCTGGACAGCAATGGAAAATTTTTGTTAATTTTAGTATTTAGAAGCATGTTTTCCCATTGAAAATTCTGTTGCTTGCAATAGTTGCTACTAGTAGAACAAAGATTCTAATGTGAATTCTAATCAACAACTAAGTCAGTAAGTCTGGAAAGTTTCATCTTAAGCAATCTTGAACTCAAGAAGAAAGTTCAACAAATGCATCATTGAAAACATTTCCCATATGAGTACTCTAAACTCTTAACTTTTCTGGTATGGGTATGTTTTTGAAAAAGAGGTTATTACAGAAGTTGCCAGTTGTCGGCTCATTTTAGATAGACTAGTTTCAGTTAACATTTTTCTTGTTTTCTTTTACAAGTTAAGCAACTCAGGTCACAAAGTAAAACCTTCATAACAACTTCCATTACAAAATAATAAAAATAACAATTATAATAACAACAACAACAAAGGTTGGTTTATAGTAAGTTAAAAGAGAGAAGTGGATAAATTGGGAAGTATCACCAACCTGAAGCTTAACAGGACTGGAATAAACTTTGACAGAATTTATCTCCATCAGTTTAGTAACTAATGGAAACTTGTTGTACTCTAAAAAGTGCAGCAATTTATCCTTTTCAAACGTGGTCCCTTCTGCGATCACAAACATATAAGGTTAGCAAACTCTGACTGACAGCCATAGTTCATGTAGCAATGAAACACCAGACATGGTGCACAAGGCCAAGTCCAAGAACTCAAAATATGTCTCTTTATGTTATTTACAAAATCTCCACTTGTTCAATGTAACCGGACCGAAATAATACATATTTATCACGTCAACAAAGAGAACCACAAATGAAAGTCTTCAACACCTCACAATAAACGACATATAAATGAGAAAAATTAAAAATTATTAGGAAAAAAGTAATTGAATATGAAAAAAAATAAAAAAAAATTTGTAGCAATATGGATATTCTGCAACTCACCAAATGCCGAGTATCTTTCTGGCTCACTTTTGACAATACCAAAGAAACTTGAAATACCAACGAAAGTAACAGCAAAGTGAACATCTTTGCAATATTTCTCAAGTAATCAACTATCACAAACCTTGAATTTTTCGAAGAAACCAATTGCAAATGTATGGTACTTCTTGACAACTTCTTCTGCCTTGGCCACAGAGTTTATTCTAGTCACAGGCACACCAGTCTTTTTCCTTGCCCATATCACTATTTCTTCCCTGAACCAAAATTCACCATGCGATAAAATTGGCGTCGCCGTGAGGTGCTAGGCTATGGAAGTTCAGTTTGGAGGCTCCGATCGTCTGCTTGATTATGCGAAACTCGGCAAACGAAGGATTGACTAATCAAGAAATGAATCGATTCGCGCATTATTGAGCAAATCCAAGAAGAAAAGGAGCAGAAATGAAACCCTAGATTGGGGAAATACCTGAACCTGAAGAGAGTGAAATCTGGATTAGGAAAGACCAAAACTTAAGGCAGGAGTTCTTCGGCCAGGGCGGCCACGTTTGGGCGGTGACCGGCATCTGGCCGGAGCTCCAGCGGTTGAGCATTTCGACGTTGAAGCGGCGGGGGAGATCGTAGAGGAACAGGACCGCGAAGAGCAAAATTTTTTTGGGTCTGGAATTGTTTCATTCAGCAAGGGTAAAATCGTAATAACGAAAATTTCATTAAAGATGTTTTTTAGATTCCCGGGCAATCTAGAATCAGAAGCAGCCCCAAGGCTGCTTCTGATTTTAGCTTCAAATTCTCCAAAAATTCTTTTAGAAGCACTTTTTTATGCTTTTACTAAACACAAAAAAGAGCTTTACTGGCTAGATAATCTATTTTAAGCTCCTAAAATTCCTACCAAACTAAGCCTTGGTCTCTTGCTTACGTCTTCACTAACAAAATCATCATTTCCAGTGAGAGCATATCTTGCTGGTTCTTGTGCAAAAAATTCCATGAAATATATTTTGAATTAGTACTTAATACTGTTCGAATTAAGAACAATGTGATTCTTTTTTCTAGCCAGCCATAAAGATCTCTATTTTTCCTTCATAAAAACTATTGAATGTCCTCTGGAAGCCGCTAATTTTTTCTTAAATCTCATTAATCAGTACGTTAGGTACTTATCTGTTCGGAGAAAAGAAAAAAGGCCTTGACTGAGCAACCTAACTTTATCCAAAGCTGAAAAAAAAATAATGGGCAGGTGAATAGCTAACGGACAAAAGAAAAAACACGCCGTTTATAAGTTTAAATAAAAAATAAATTTAGATAAAAATTTATATTTTATAAAAAAATACTAATTTAAATTTTATAAAAAAACAGAGTAATTCGAATCTATCAAACAAAAGGAGCATAATCTATTTTGGTAGGTACAACTGGACAAGAGATGCCGCCTGGTGCTCATGCGTATATAAGGAAAGAGGATTGAGACATTAAAACGTTACGTGTAATTATAAAATATTACTCCCGAAAATTTTAAGGTCTCATTCACTTTGTGAATTTAAATTTTCAATTCGAGTTGAGATGTGATATTTTTTAAAAGTTTTTTACTGTAACAAAAAAAGTTAGATGTGACATTTTTTAAAAATTTTTTACTGTAGAAATCTAAAATTAAAAATTCGAATCGGTGAAATGAATGACGCCTTAGAGTTAGTTTGTTAGATTAGTTTTGTTAAACTTACTCAGCAAATTTATTAGTTTGTTAAACTTACTCAGTTAGCTAGTTAGTTTGTAAGACTTACTCAACAATCTTGTTACTTAATTTGTATATAAAGCTGAGGTTGTGTAACAAGTAATTTGTATATAAAGCTGATGTTGTGTAACATTATTTTCTGATGAATGAGAATATTCATTTTCTATTCTTTTCTCTTTTGTTTTCGTAAAGAAACAAAATTACAATTCAAGACACTGACGTAATTATATTCAATATTCAGTTCTTTTTTTTTTTTCCTGTTAATACAATATTCAGTTCACAAGATCACAAAAGTACCAACCCGTGATTCCCAACTAGCAGTAGCCAAGCATAGCGTTTATCGAATGTGGAAATAGGTCGCGTTGGAGAATCGACAGAATCATGAATACTTTATGCAATTTTCCTTAAAAAAAAAAAAAAAAGTGCTTTGCTGCAATTGAAAACGTTTTGAGAAAAAAATACAGATAGAAAAAAGTTCTCAAGTCCCAAGTTTTTTTCTCTTTTGGCATTTGTGCTATAACTAGCACTTGGAAATAGTCTTTTGAAGTTTTAGATCCGTTTAGAATTAATTTTAAAATAATTTTATTTTTAATAAAAAGTAAAAATAAAATTATTTTAAGAATTATTTTAAAAATAATTTTAAAATTACGTTTAATTAATTTTTTAAAAGATGATTTTAAATATAATAAAAGAGTAAAATTATATTTAATTATAATTATTAATTAATATATTATAATATTATTGATAAGTATAAATAAAAATAACTTTTAATTATTTTTTAAAATTTTTTATGAAAATCATTCTCATATTTTTATTTTTAAAATAGTTCTTAAACAAACGTAATTTTATTTTCAATTTCATTTTTTCTTCCGTAAAAAACGATTTGAAAACGAAACCAAACGCACTCTTTGTTTTTGTTTTTTCTTTTTGGGTTCCTTCTTTATCTTCATACCCAAAACAGAGCTAAGCTCAGGACCATTTCTCAAAGCAGCAATCATATGAACCATGAAAAACAATATGATATGCACTTTAAAGTACCAATAATCAGCAATAATAATATTTTTTCTTTCTTCTAATCTAATTGAATTCTCACTATAATTGAGCGACTAATTAATCTACCTCCCATTAGGAGAAGATAAAGCCAAATCCTTCTCCTCAGCTTCCCTCTCTTCTCTGAACTTCTTGTATATATCACCTCTGTAAAACTCCCTCGTTCTCACCACCAAAATAAGCGACACGAGAGCTCCAAAGAAGGTGACACAAGCCAAAATCGTAAACGAGACCCTATAACAGTTTTTCCCAATACAAATAAGCTCCTTCACAGATTTCCTATCCAACCCTTTCTGCGCCAACTCCTTCAACGCCTCTCTGTCATAAAGCATACCAGCGACCCTGACGTTTAGTATGTAAGAGCCTAAAGGACTCGCCAGTTGGCCGCAATTGAACAACGTTGAGTAGTACTTTAGCCCGAAAAGCTCGGAAATGATTGCGAAGAGCAAAGGCAATTGTGCACCAAAAGAGAATCCGATAATAACAGAAGCTATGTAGACAGAACCTGGTATTGGAAAGGCAATCAGAAGGTGACCAGCGCAGGACAGAAGAAGAACGAAAGTCATCATCAGAGGACGAGGGACTTTCCACTTGACCATAAGACCTTCCGAGACGAACCCGGAAAAGACTCTCCCGAAGTAGTTCCATATGCTGACTAGGGAAACAAATGAGCTCACAGTTCTCGCCGGGTATCCCAGAGACTCGCCGATTTGGCCCAGATTGTCGACTGCGGTCAGGCTCGATCCGAGACCGCAGAGAGTTGCGAGGAAGAGAATCATCATGTCTAAGCTCAGTAAAGCTTGTAAAATGGTGTAGTCCTCTCCTCTTGGAGGCGGGTCGAAAGCGGTCAAAAAACATGACTTTTGCTTCTCTTTTTGATCATCAATATCCACTTTCTTTGTGACAATCTCCTCCTGTTTTTGCGTAACTTCATGACTAGGAGGGTCTTCCACAGAGTGCTGATTGTTTAGATTGTTCCATATGACAAGCTCTTCTTTAATGGCGATGAGAAGAGGGACGAAGATCAGAACACACACGACAGTGGCACACCCGGCGTAAGCCGCGCGAGAGAAGACGACCTTTTTCTGGACTATGTTCATGACCATGAGAAACAAGGCCAGAAAAATCGAAACGTAGAGGAAATGGTAAAAGACTTTAAGCTCGTTCTTTTGCTTGCTCGGATGATCGGGCTTCATCGTCCGAATGGTGTAGACGAAAACGACAGATAAAGCCGCCGGGAGCCAGGCGATGAGGAGAATCAGAGACTTGGAATCGTCGCCGTAAATGGCCAAGTAGAGCTGCGTCATGACGGCGCCGCTGAGGCCGACGAAGCCCTTGAGGAGGCCGAGAACGACGCCGCGGCTCTCGGGAAAGTTCTTGACGCAGGTGACGAGAGCGCCGGTGTTGGCGAAGTTCTGGGAGTTGGCACCGATGCAGATGTAGAGGCACATTTGCCAGACCTTGGGCTTGGCGATCTTGCCGGTGACGGCGAGCCAGATCATGAAGTAGCCGGCGAAGTTCATGGCGGAGCCGATGAGGAGGACGAACCAGGTGGGGGTGACCTCGGCGATGAGGCCGGAGAGGACGCCGACGTTGGCGCCGAGGTCCTTGAAGAAGCCGATGAGGTTGAGGGTCTTTTGGTCGTAGCCGAGGGAGGATTTTATCTGCTTTGAGTAGACGCCGAAGAGGTAAGTCGCGCCGGCGCCGAACATGATGAGGAAGGAGGCGAAGACGCTGAACCACCGGCCTTTGATGACGTGTACGGCGAAGCGGAGGAGCTCCGCCATTGGAATTGGTTTTGGGTGGAGGAGAAAGGAGAAGAGAGAGAGGTTTTGGAGGGTATTGTTTGGGTTGAGGAGAGATGATGGGAGATGAGCTGATAAATAGGATGTTTTTTTTAGGATTTTTGTTATCCACCCTGTGAAAAAAGTCGGAAGTAATCTCGTTTATGGAAAGCAATTTTAGCTGCTCCGCTGCTTTTACTGTGTTTCTATTGTTTTATTTATCTATATATAGAGGAATGGTCTCCGATTACATACTTGAGCGTCATTTGTATATATTTTTAAAGTATGTATATTTATTTTTAAAATGTATATATTTTCATTTAAAATGTATATATTTTTTTATGATAAAATATATAATATATGTATTAAGCATAAATATACACATTTTAAAAAATATATATACATATTTTAAATAAAATATATATAAATTTCGCTCTAATTTAATACTGGATTGAAGATTTAGCCTATATATAATTGGATAAATTGTGTTATATTAAAAGATTGGTCTTTCTGTACCGGTAGCGTTAGATTGAAACAGAAAAATATAATCATGCTTAAAAATAAAGATCAATCCATAATTTGTTTTTCAAACTCTAACATAAAAATCTCCTAGAAATCCTTCTTTTGGGATTTTTTTGTATATATAGATATATGTATGCATATGACAGTTGTTCAATTATGCTAGTCAGCTGTGTTATTAGTTTTCCGTAGCAGTCAACAATGGCAAAACTACAAAGAGTGGGTGAAGTTGTATGAATACGGATAAGATGGTGTTAACAGGCTGCAACTTCCTCGATAAATGTGGTAAAAATGAGGAGGAGATCAGAACAGAATCAACCAACCAGGTTGGTAATTGGTATCTACACCATCCTCATATCAAACGAACATAAATTTTATCTATTTATAGAAACAAGCTGATATAAATCGATCATATCAAATCAAATATTACTTCCTCCTATCCTATTCTTTGTTGTGTGGATAAAAATCTTCTGCCCTGAGTTATCAACTGTCTATCCCTTTTTTTTTTAATCTAAATTTAATAAGTTACTAAAATCTTAAACACGTCACTTTAATAAGCATTAGTTACGTGTGTACTAATTTTTTTACCGCGTTTTCTGTTATGATTCCATAAAAATCTCGAACAACTCAAACCGTCAAGTAAAAACTAAGAAAGATAACTTTTTTTTTTTTTTTGGATAAATAAACAGACCTTAGGGCTGCATCTTATTGATGTTAAAAATTGAACAAACGTTATTAAAATCTAGCTGTCAAATTTATACATGAGCGAGTGTGCAAGTTGTAACCATTTTGCAAGCACATGGTTTGTTTTAATAAGGACTCAAAATGAACAAATAATCTACCATATATATTCCTAAACTTATTTTTCTCTCTTTCTCCAAAGGTCAAATACAGAAATATGTGATGATTGTTTTAGAGTGTATTCATTTGCATAACTCATGTCATGACTTGAACTGTATATGTGAGAGAAAAGTATTATATAAAAAAAGTTAAATTTAAATTTATATAAAAGAAAATATTGTAGTAATATGAGTTAAGTTATGAAATAAACGAGTCCTAAGCTTCGGCAAAAGACAGACGCACGTGATTGAGATACATTAATCCCATTGCTACTTGGTAATTTCTAAGGTTCGATTTTTCTTCTTTTCTTTTTTTAAGGTTCTATTTCAGTGAGTCCAAAGACTAATTTCTTTCTACTCAACATCTTTTGTCTTTTTGCTATTGAAGTCAAGGGAAGAAAGAAATTCGTTTCTAAAACACATGGTTCATTTGTTAATTAACTTGTCCAAGCAGAATACTAACGGCTGGCTCCTTGGCAGTGGGCATTCCACATTATGTAATGCAGAGAGATATAAGAGGAATGGACCCCTTTTGCCCACAAAATCATAATTGGAACCGTGAAATTTGCAATCAAATGGGCCAGTTTAAAATGGAGTTTTTTTAAGGCCGTTTAGTTCGTTGATTCGAGTTTTTAACTTGAGTTAAGATATGACTTTATATGAGAGTTTTTTTATTGTAGTAAAAAAGTTAAATGTGACTATTTTTTAGAGCTTTTTGTTGTAACAAGATTCGAATTCTAAACTCGAATCGATGAAATAAACGGAGTTTAAGTTATATGCCTTTCAATTTAGTATTAATATAGTGTTGATTCGACTGTGGAAGTGGGCCTAATTAGAGTCATGTATTTGTGTCTATCCATGTGTTGATACCATCAAAATCTGTTTATATATGATTCCCTGGAGTCAATCTTCAGCAATTAAGTACAGAAAAATTGAGAACTTTCGACAGAGAGAGAGAACAGATAAAGAACATTATCAGTAGTTAGAGGGACTCTTTGCAACAGAGATATAAACAACACATATCGTGCTCCCACTTGCACCTCGATAATAGCAAGTCTTCCTATGGCATGAAGCCGATCAATTATACCACCAAATATTGAATTAAGAAACGCGAAAATACATATCAAATTAGTAAAAAAAAAAAAAAAACAGAAAAAAAAAATTAAGGAAAGTTCTTATAGTATTCATCACCTTGACTTAAAAAGTGTCGACCAAAAAAACTCTTACTTTCAACTAACCAATGTAGAATTAATTAGCAAATAAAAGATGTTATATAGGATGTATATAACTATATATTTTGGTTAGAAAGCATTCTTATGATTATCTATAGGATATTTCTATGATAGAAAAATTAACCAACTTTTGACGAAACTCAAACCAAGTAGACAGCAGCTTACTATGACTTATTTTTGGACACATCGTATTCACTGCTAATGCTACATACCGCAATTCGATCCATATCAGTATAGGAATCTCTCTCGTCTCCATCATGGTATCCCAAATCGAGAAAAAACCGTTGAATCGAAGTAGGGTCCAAAACGATCTCAATATCCAACGGTTCAGGACATGGGATAATCAATAGCCATTCGTGTCGGTCCACACCCACGTTTGGAGCTCTTGGAAAGCAGTTTCCACCGAAGGAGTTTTCTGCTACAACAGCATATAAGGAGGCTTAATCATTACCACCACCATATTGCAATGATCATTTGCATTGTCATTCTTCACTTAAAGGCCCCCAAAAGGCTCTCCGCGTTCATATATTTATGGTTATGATTTTCCGTTTATGATCAAAATCTACCAAACTGGTCCACCAAATATACTATTGGAAATATTTCCTAGCTTGAAATGGAAAAGCCAGTTGAAATTGTGTAGCACTATGAGCACGAGCAGACAAATATTGCGTTATGTGCCGCCCGCCAAGGTTGAAAGACGTGCTTTAGAACCCTAAATATATATGTGCCATGGTCGGGTATATAATTCTTATTAAAAGTGGTGCAGTCACATGAGAAATAATGGGAGCAGGTCCGGAGAAGATGCCTTAGTGGGCATACAAGCTCTTAAAAAGTACTAACAAAGATGAGTTGATAGGGACGAGATGACACTAATAATTTTTTTTTTTTGAGAAAAAAATAATAATAAAGATGAGTTGACGGAGACGAAATGATATCAATAATATTGTTTTTAAGAAAAAAAAAATAACAAAGACGAGTGATACTACTTTTGGACATGATAAGGTTAATACGATTGGATTCAAATATATTAGGAAAGTATATGTTTCGGAATGTTTGAATGCATGTAAAGAACAAATAGAATTTGTAAACTTAAACCATCCTTTCTGAACATTTCACTTTTTTCTTTGTAGAACCTTACAATTTTAAATTGTCATAATATCAATGGAGCATTTTCTTTTATGCCTGCCACAAAATTCTCTTACTAATCATTTCAAAGAAAAATTTCTCTTACTAAAAAGATATTACTATTGTCGTTCTCGCTTTAATAACATTGAACAAAACTCAAAGGACTCGATGATACTTTTTAACAAAATAAATGTGAATTAGATTTTTTATTCCCAATCACTTTCCAATCATTTCGTGTCATGATTTTCCTCTCTCAAAAGAGGTTCACGTAACATTTACACATGGCGCTATAATGATTTACGAACAACATTTCGTGTTGTATATCTACATGGTTCTACAAAAGTGTGTACATTCTTCCTCTCTCTCTCTCTCCACCCGATTCCGAAATGAGTGTGTACAGTCGCACGGGTGACGGGCCTCGAGAGTTTTCCGGGCCTTTCTGTTTTGTTTGGGCTTTCTGTTTTGTTTGGGTTCGAAGGTCATCTACTGCTCATACTTGTCTCATTGGGCTTTATTTGATGCTAGTTGGTCTGGGCCCTGGGTTGGTATTTTCTGCTTTCCCTTTTCACTTCTCTGCTCTTTGTTAGTCTGTTGTCTGCTGTCTTTCGGCCTTTGCCCTTTTGCTGCCTCCTGTATTCTGATGGTTTTGTTCTTCTTGTTGTTATCAAAATGCATTGTTACCAAAAAAAAAAAGAAAAAGAAAGAGTTACTGTTTGAAACAAGAAGTTTTCCCTCGAGTGTTTTAAAACTATCATAATTACGTGATCGCATAGTATTGTAATTTGTGTTACTTATAAAAGATTTTGATTTTTTTTTGCTATATTTAATCATGAATAGTAAAGATTATTTTATGTGTCTAATATTTTCTTTGTTCTTTTATTCAGCGGATAATGTTGCTTTTAAAGTGATCCCATAAATGGAAAAATCTTGCAAGCTACTTAACTGGGTACAATTCCCTTCTAATTAACTTAATGACATAAAGGTGTTGATGAGTTAGATAGAATAACATCATTTTTAGAGAGTTCCCATTCAAATATACTACTCACGTGGAAAAAATTAGCTTATTTACATATAATGACAGCGCTACTGTTAAAAACAGGAGCATAAAGATCCAGCTTTATGATAATGAAATAAGATTCAAAATTTGAAAAGCACTTTAATGTTTGTGCAAAATATAGGTACATGTATGGTTATTATTATGAAGATTGCAAGTTTATGATAATGTTTACCACCATAAACAATAACAATCAATGAGTACGTACATATTTAAGATCACAACATTGCGATAATAAAAATAAAAATTTGAAAATGTTGGTAATGCTTGTGTACAATATGCAAATGTGATCATTATCACAAAATTACAACTTTAAAAGAATGATCACATATCCTAATGTATTGAAATGATAAATCGATACCAGAAGTACAATTGATCTTTTGAAAAATATACATAACTATAATATTACGAAAAATTAGACGATTTTGAAAGTGGGGTTGTATAAACTATAAACAATTTGTGTTCAATTTTTCTTAAGATTATCTATCATGATTCATGAGCACGCAAAATGGCCGATGATATATCAGGAGTTCAAAACCAGCCCACGAAAAGAGTTCATGCAATGGCCCTAGAGGTGTCAATTGGGTTGGGCCCAGCCCACTGCTGTGCAGGGTTTGGTACGGCCCGACATGTCTACCGGGTTAGGACTGGGCCTCATTTTCTTAGTCCGCGGCTCAGGCACGGTCCTGGCCCATTTGAAGGCCTAGACACGGCCCAGGCACGTGACGGACCCAACGGTCGAAAACGGCTAGTCCGAGGCCCAACCCGTGACGTGCCCAACAGTAAAATCCGACCCTCATGCTCCAAAACCCTTATAAAAGCCCTATCTCTCTCACAACATTCTCAACTCTTCTACATCACTCTCAACTCTCAACTCCTCTCACTCTCATAACTCTATCTCTCATATTCTCTCTCGGAGTCTTAGCTTTCTCTCTTGATTCCTAACTTTCTCTTATCTCTTTCATTTACAAATTTCAATTAAATTGAAGACAACCCAAAAAAAGGGTACTCTACTCATTATTTTTGTATAATATTTTATTATTTAATGTTTATTTACATGGTTTATTATTTATAAATATTTTTGTTAACATTAATTTTTGTTTTTTTTACAGAAAATGGCGGAATCAAAATTTTCTGACTTTGGAGATCAATCATTTTAAGGATGAAATTTTGATGCACAACTCCAACCCCACTGATGCGGATAATGTTCCGGTTGATAACCAATCGGTGCATAACGACGATATAGGAGAACGTGCAAGGGAAAAAAATACTGCGCACAGCTCCTGCATGGCAACATTACACAGAGGAGCTACGACCAAATCCAAAAACAAGTGAAATTGAAATGAGTGCGGTTTGTAAATATTGCAAATAACACTTTTCCAACATAAAAGGTGGGGGTATAGGCTATCTCGGTAGACATTGGAAAGCATGTCTACCATTACACCAAAGTGGAAGTGTGAAATCCCGCAACAAATACTGTCACTCACAAATAGTGCTGAAACTTTGGACGCCTGCCCGCGACCACTGAAAATTCTACATTTTTACCCGATGATTGGGCCCGCCCGAGCCTGAATTTTCAGGCTGCCTGTCCCGACCTGAGGAAGACCATGGTTTTATATATTCATATACTATTATATATATATATATTATATAATTTTGTTTATTAATTGTATATGGTATGTATATAAATGATTTTTAAGTTATTTATTGTAAAAATTATAAGGGAGATTGTAATTTTGAAATTTGAAATGAACACGAACTATATAAAAAAATTATTTATTTATTAATTTTTAAATTTGTAATTCATGATTGCCTCGTTAAAAACCTTACCAAGAAAAATCCAATTGTGATAAAAACTTGGTAAGGAAAAAAGAGTGCAATCAGTCTGAGACGAATTACAAATTTGACGAACTTACAAAGTCTATACAAGATTACAATAAGACTGTACAAAGTAAATAAATATTTACAAATTACAATAATAGAATTTAATTTGAAGCTGAAGGATCATCTTCAAAACTAAAAGTTAATCTATCAAATTCATCGATCCATTCGTGACTTGCCAGTGAACTTGTATCGTGTAAGCGTTGGTCGGAACGATCCCAATCCTTAATGCACACCAAATCTTTAACAATGTCTTGTTGCAATGCGTTTCTACATTCTTCAAGTATTCGGCCGGTTGTACTGAAGGCTTGTTCGGTTGAAACAATGGAGACTGGGATCGAAAAAGTATCCATCGCCAGTCGAGTTAGGATCGGCCAAGTTAATACGCGTGCCCTCGACCACTGAACCAAATCAAACATTTCACTATTGTCGATTACTAAGCCCTCACTCATGTACGCCATTAACTCGTTGAAGCCGCCGTTGTTGTCGTCACCTCTTGATGAAGATCCACTCCTAGATTCTTCTTAACCTTCAGTCGTCGTCATCGTCTTCTTCTTTAACCCGAAAATATTCAAGAATGAATGCGGATTGTCGTCTCGTTGTTGCGGTTGTTCTACACGAGTTGAGTTTCTAAACCTACTTTGATAAGAGCTATAGAGAGATAATATTTTTCCCTTTATAATAGAAAATTAGTCAGAACAGTCGATATCTAAAAAGTCACCAAAGTTTTCTAATCCACTTTCTAAACCTTCTAATTTTAATCTAGGATAAAAAATAACACTGAAACCATACAACACTGGTAATTTAGCCCAATATTTTTTAAACTTCATTTCCATAGAAGCGACAGAAACTCCTAAAACCTCGTGTGTCCTAAACTCACTAAATAAAATAGCAATTCTTAAAAGTTCTCCTAACGCTAATGGTGACGTTGGGTAATATGTTCCACTAAACTTTAAAGTAACTTCGTGAAATGTAGCTGTTGCATTCAAAATTCGGGCAAAATTCAGGCTAACGGTCAAAAAGTACGTTCAAATCGCGTCAGGTCGGGCAAAACTTTAAATAACAAGCCGTTTTTTTGGGTTTTCGGGCAAAATTCAGACAACGGGTCGGGCTTCGAGTTACGGTGGAAAATTCAAAAAAAAAAAAAACGGCGGCCGACGATCACAGTTCCCCCACTGGCGGCGGGCTGCCGGGAAGTTTTTCTCAGGCTGCCCGAGCCCAAGCTCAAAATTAGGGTGGGCGGGCGGCGAATGGTGCCTGCCTACCGAGCCCGAAAATTTTTGAACTTCGGGCAGGCCCACCGCCCGAAGTTCCACCACTACTCACAAATCAAGGTTTACATAATTTTTCATATGATGCACAACGTGCTCGTGAGGCACTAGCTAAATTTTTAGCTAGTGTCGAATTATTATTGTTTTTTTTTACAGATGATGAAGCATTTGAAGAATTTATTCAGACTGCATTTTGTTCACAATTTAAAACGATTAATAGAAACACAACTAGAGCTGATTGCATGAAAATTTTTTATGTAATAAGAGAATCACTTGTTAATAATTTTAAGTCTTTTAATGCTACAGTCTCTTGCACATCTGATCTTTGGGAGGGTTGTAGTAAAACTGGATATTTATGCGTCATGAGTCATTATGTTGACGGGGATTAGGTTTTGTAAAAGTGAATTATTAGTTTTCGTTTATGTCCTTTTCCACATAATGCAAATGCTATTTTTTTTACTATTATGGAAATTTTTAAGGTTTATGGCATCGAAGATAAAATTTTAACTATTACTTTTGATAATACATCAACAAACACAACTGTTATCAACATGTTCAAAGCATATTTGAAACCACATTTTGGTGGAGATTTTTTCATCAACGCTGTGCATGTCATATTATTATAAACTTAATGGTTTTCGGCCACAACAAATAGTTTAAGCCCTGTGGGGAAAATGGACGGCTTATGGCCTATCAAATAGATACACACGGCCTACGGCAACACCCTATGGTTATTATTACGGATGTTTAAAAATTCTCACGGATGTTTGGAAATTCTCAACGGCTTGGTGGCCCACTATACGAAAAAAAAGAAAAAAGAAGATTTCATTCCACTAGAACATGGAAGGGTAGAGCCCTAAAGGGATGCCCAACACTCGACCAAATCGATGGAAATGTGAGTCTATACATGTACCGAGGAGGCCGCCATGTTGTTTTGAGGGACGAGCCCGTCAGGAACGATGGCATCGCTATCATTTTTTTTAGAATCGCAGCCACCAACCTTAAAGCCGCTTCTTGAGGTGTCAATGGCTGCTGCGAGGCGGAGATTTTTACGGATTGGCTTCAGAGCCTCAGTCGAAAGTCTTTTTTGAGGACCCTTGGGTGGTGTTGAACAAGCGCTCTTTGATCCCGCAGGAGAAAGCGCATTCGCAGGCTTCTGTTTACCTCAACCAGCAGCATGATCGATAATGACAAAGATCCGGCCGAACAAGGGGGCGCTAGTTGACTTTCCAGTGTCGACCGCAGGAGCTTCTCCCAAAGCAATGGGTCCCTGCCAAAAGAAAAGAAAAACAGAGCAACCAAATATGCTCGTGTTCACATATATATACAAAAGAAAACAAAGAAAAGAGACTTGTGAAAATTATGGCAAACATCAAAATGACAAGGTAAAAATGAAAAAAAAAAAAAAAAGGTAGAAACACAGGCGAGACATACCTTCGCAACTGCACCCGTGCAATAAAGAACCCGACCGAAGGAGGAAGCATCGGTGCCATTCTGCCCAAGCGCGTCGTATGTTATTATGGAGCCTATATCTTCGCCCTTAGTCGTCGAAGCAATGCGGGAGCTCTTACGACTCGGCGGCAAGACCACAACATGGGCCTCCTCGTGGTGAGCCCCGACCGAACCTTCGTTGACCATGAAAAAGGAGGCACAACAGCGAGCTTCCGCACACTCTTCCATCGGGTGTGCCCTCTTCCCATCAACAATAACCCAGTAAGGAGCATCGTTACTTATCGCATATGTTCTAACACATGAATTAGTATAGAGTCTGAGCCGCTCAGGCATAGCGTCCAATCTCAGAGAAGGACGTTCCAGGGGCCGAGAACCACTATCAGCTGCAGCAAAGAGTCGGTACACGACATGAAGCCAATATTCAGAGAAGGATGTGGTGCAGGTGGCGAGATATCGCTGTGACGACCCTAACCTTTGATCATCATAGTTAATATTACTTAACCTCTACTACTTACTAGTTACAACCTCTTAAAAATTCAGGCTAATTTTTTTTTTCATTCTTACGTCTAAATGTTGTAGCATTTAGCTAGCATTCTGTTTTCAACCATTCGTAAAATGTTGTAGCATTTAGCTAGCATTCTCTTTTCAGCCATTCGTAAAATGTTGTGGCATTTAACTAGCAATCATACCTTGTGACTAGAGGTTGTTATGCATAGCCTCACTGTCTCCTAAACTCAACTTTCGTTACATAAGTCATCTATATTCATAAAATACTATTTATTTTTTACACAAAACACGTGATGCATCCACAACCCACTTGCAGCCATAGTGAAGAAATGAGAGGGAAAATTTGAAATCTCACCTTAGAGAGTGAAGAACAAGCTTTGGTGATGCTGTTCCTCGATAATTCCGTCAATTTTCGCTTACATCTCGTTTTTCTTCACTTTGAAATTTTTTTTCCTCTCTTTCTCTCTTGGCTGATGCTCTATGTTCTTATCCATGAGAAATGACTATTTCTCACGTAATATACCTTTAATGAACCGACCAATACATAAAGCAAAAGTCCAAAAATGTAATTTTGACTTTTCCAATGACCTTTTTGCAAAATTTGACAAAATATCCCAAAAATATCTTTCATTTTCCTCTCCTCCAAGTTTGGCCGGCCACCTTAGATGCCACATGGCTCAATCTCAGCCCTTCATCTAATTTTTCACTTTTAATCTCAACCATTGATCATTTAATAATTATCCTATTTTGGTTCAGTTTAATTCCTATCCAGTACGCGTTTTATATGCGTTTTTCAGACAGATGGTCAACTTAGTCAACCTTGACCATTCTTGACTAACTTTTCGAGGGTGACTTTTTGGTAGACTCTTGATCAACAAATTTTGACTCGGTCAACTCAAATCAGTTGAAACCCCAATTTTCTCGGTTCGGCCTTCCAAACCCGTTTTTCATTGTGATTGTTTCTAAAACCCTAGAATTGATGTCTTTCAATTCTTTTTCATTTCTTAAACTTATTATTCATGTGTTTACCCACTTGTGGGCTTAACACAACATTCCATACTTCTTTCTTAAATACAGTCTGAAAACCGGTAACTGCATCGTAGTTCAGAAATTTCTAAACTTTAGCTTATAGCTTGCTATTCCATACTTATATCAACAAATATTTATTATAAAAATATTTATATAAATAATACAAAAGATTCTAGAGAATACTATCTTATACAATAATCCCGATCTACTATCGATTGTCGTAATGGGAAGGTGATTTTCTGACCTGATGGGTAAGAAACTTTTGAGTACGTTGATCGCTCTAAGTGTACCCCCAGATGAGTAATTAACGCAATGGAAGCAAGGAAATTACTTACTAGTGGTTGCGAAGGATATTTAGTACATATTATGGACACGACTAAAACTGATAAGTGGCAACCAAAAGATGTGCCGAAGAATTACCATAATTGCCACCAGAACGTAAGATTTCGTTTGAAATCGAACTTTTACCAGGAACGCACCGATTTCTAAGGCTCCTTATAGAATGGCTCCAGCAGAACTTAAGGAGTTAAAAATGCAACTGCAAGAATTAATGGACAACGGATTTATCCGACCAAGTTATTCGCCTTGGGGAGCCCCTGTATTGTTTGTAAAGAAGAAAGATGGCACATTAAGGATGTGTATTGACTATCGTGAACTCAATAAGGTCACGATAAAGAATAAATATCCTCTGCCCATGATCGATGACTTATTCGACTAACTCAAAGGGACAGCAATATTCTCAAAGATTGATTTTCGATCTGAATACCACCAATTAAGGATTAAGGAACAAGATATACCAAAGACGGCTTTCAGAACGCGTTATAGACACTACGAGTTTCTTGTAATGCCGTTTGGACTAACTAATGTCCCAACAGCTTTTATAGATTTGATGAATCGTGTTTTCAAGGAATACTTGGATAAATTTTTTATCGTTTTTATCTACGACATACTAATTTATTCAAAGAATTATAAGGAACATGAAGAGCACTAGAGAATTACTCTTCAAACGCTGAAAAGACATCAGCTATATGCTAAATTCTCCAAGTGCGAATTTTGGCTCAATGAAGTTCATTTCTTGGGACATGTAGTCTTGAAAGTCAAAATCTCGGTGGATCCAACAAAGATTGAAGCAGTTAGTAATTGGGCCGCATCGAGAAACGTAACAGAGATTCGTAGTTTCTTAAGTTTGGCCGGATATTACAGGAGATTTGTAGAGAGTTTTACAAAACTAGTTGCACCACTCACTACCCTCACGCGAAAAGAAAATAAGTATGAATGGACTGAGAAGTGTGAGGAAAGTTTTCAAGAATTGAAACGAAAGCTAACTACTACACCAATCATTACTATCCCAAAGGACGGAGAAAACTTTGACGTATACAGTGATGCTTCCAAACTAGGGATGAGAGCGGTACTGATGCAAAATTGAAAGGTAATTGCGTCTGCGTCTAGACAATTGAAAACTCATGAGAGAAATTATCCTACTTATAATCTTGAATTAGCAGCAGTAGTTTTTGCTTTAAAGATATGGATGCATTATTTATATGATGCACAATGTCAGATTTTCACTGATCATAAAAGCCTCAAGTATTTCTTCACTCAGAAAAAACTTAATATGAGGCAACACAGATGGTTAGAGTTAGTAAAGAATTATGATTGTGAAATCCTTTATCACTCTGGCAAAGCCAATAGGGTACCTGATGCTTTAAGTCGTAAGACTACTGAATTAAGTCATATGTCATTGGATAGATTTTCAACACCCTTACAAAATGATATTCATTCATTAGGATTGGAGCTAATTACGGGCAAATTAGCCAGTCTGCGGATACAACCATCTATTTTTGACAAGATGGTAGCAGCTTAACGTCAAGATTCTACTCTTGAAGAGTATTGGAAAGAAGCTGAAAAAGGAAAAGAGACAGAATTCAAAGTCTCTGATAAGGGAATACTCACATTTCGAGGAAAAATTTGTGTTCCAAAAGCTGAAAATCTTAAGAGTCATTCTTTTTTAAGCTCATAATACCCCTTATTCGATACGTCCAGGAACGACTAAGATGTATCAAGATCTAAAATAATACTTTTGGTGGAGATACATGAAAAATGACATCGTGGACTATGTTAGTCGTTGTTTAACATGTCAAAAGATTAAAGCAGAGCACAAACGTCAAGCTGGAGAGCTACAACCTTTAGATGTTTCAGAATGAAAATGGGAACATATAACCATAGATTTTGTGGTGGGACTACTCAAAACAAGTGAATGTTATGATGCAATATGGATAATTGTTGATAGATTGACTAAATCTGCCCATTTTGTACCCATAAAAGTGACATATACCATAAAAAAAGTTAGCAGAGTTCTACGTCACCAACATAGTTAGACTGCATAGAATACCTTTATCCATTGTCTCAGATCGAGATAGCCGCTTTACCTCAATGTTTTGACAGAGTGTACAAGAAGCCATAGGCTCAGAATTAAGATTTAGCACAACTTTTCATCCTCAGACTGATGGACAATCGGAATGTACCATCCAAACTTTAGAAGATATGCTTAGAGCATGTGTGATGAATTTTAAAGGAGCATGGAATAAGAAACTATCATTGATTGAATTCTCGTATAATAATAGTTATCAAGCTTCAATCGGTATGCCACCATATGAAGCTTTGTATGGAAAAAAGTGCAGATCTCCCATTCATTGGTATGAAACCAGGGAGAAGCAATTGCATAAGATAGAATTCATTCAGGAGGTGGTTGAATCTATCCAGAAACTCCATTAAAGAATGAAGACAACACAGGATCGTCAAAAAAGTTATGCTAATAAGCGTAGAAAACCCTTAGAGTTTAGTGAAGAGGATTCAGTCTTCTTAAAGATCGCACCCATGAAAGGTGTTATGCGTTTTGGCAAGAAAGACAAATTGAGCCCAAGGTATATAGGACATTTCTAAATTATCAAACGAATAAGGAAGTAGCCTATCGATTAGCTTTACCGCCAGAATTAACTGCGGTACATGATGTATTCCACGTCTCGATGTTAAAGAAGTATATACACGATCCATCCCATGTTATAGAACATGAACCGATTCAGATTCACGAGGACATGACTTATGAGGAACAACCGGTGCAAATACTTGTACGAGAAGATAAACGTCTTCGGAATCGAAGTATTCTAGTTGTAAAGATACTGTAGAGGAATCAAAAAGTGGAAGAAGCAACATGGGAACGTGAAGATGAGATGAGAATGAAGTACCCTCATTTGTTATGATTTTTTAGGACAAATATTTAAAGAG